TCAAAACCACAGGGCCTGAATTTGTGCTTATAAATTAGGCTTAATAAAGCAAAGCTTCACTGCTCTGTTTTTTTTTTTTTTTCAGCTGATGAGAGAATCAACTGTGCCATCAACCACAGCTGCCCTTCTGAATAACATTAATGTTCCACAGGAATGATTTCGTGAGGACGGTGACACTAGAGCGGCGAGACCACCGATGTGACACTATGATAAAAGGGCCGAGAGAACAGACACCATGCCGTTATGAGTCTGAAATACCATGACATTCTACAGCGGGACAACTGAAGAAGCCGTAAGAGAGTAATTGATCCAATTACTGAGGTACTCTTGGGTAGCTATATATCTGCATACGAGATACAAAAGGTTACAATAGTGGAAATGATAGCGTGATTATGACAAAGATGCACATCATGTGTCTTTCACGAGCAGCCAAGCCTGAAAACAGTTCTTTGCTTTCAACCATAAGCTATGTTTGCGAGTTCTCTGTGTGCTCAGGTTCCATCGCTAGACATCTGTGGATGCACTGTTGTTTCTTCTGCCACCACTAGCTCCAGTCAGGGGAGTGGCTTGCTTGGCATCCAAAGATAGCTCTGAATGGGCCAAGCCCTCAGGCTCTCAGTCCCTGCCTGACTGCCTGAAAGTCACTGTGAATTATGCATCATATTTCTGAGATTGTTGTTCTGCCACCACTAGCACCAGTCAGGGGAGCGACTTGCTGGGCATCCAAAGATAGCACTGAATGGACCAAGCCCTCAGGCTCTCAGTCCCTGCCTTGACTGCCTGAAAGTCACTGTGAATTATGCATCATATTTCTGAGATTTGCCCTTCTCCTCTATGCAAAAATAACAGTGGAGAGTGCTTAGAGGCAGACCTACACAATGTTCAGTGAAAAGTAGAGACACAAAGAAAGAGGTTTTGAAGACAAGAAAAAATGATGAGCAGAAGCAAAGTAGTCGAAGTGTGTGCGTGTGCACATATATGGTCACAAGGACACAAGATCATGTTTTCCAAAGATAATGTGGTGGATTTTTAAAATGAGGATGCTATGTGGCCCTATAATAATAATAATAATAATAACAATAATTTGTTTTTCAGACTTGCATTTGCGTTTGTAATTTGTTATTTTGTTTTCAGAATTGTGATTTGTTTTGCACTTCTCGGCCACCATAGAGCTGAGCTGTAAAAAAAAAAATTCTGTTAGAAGAGCGCAAGAAAAAAGCCTGGCCTTATTTAAGAAGACAGCTAATTTGTTTTGGCCTCTTAAAGTCATGCTTGGGTCACTTAGGCAAGCATGGAATCCAGACAGCATCATTAAAAAATCATGTGTTTTGTTGCAGAAAAGAAATGCACATTCATTGTCTTGCTCAAAAACCATTCCTCTAAAACGTGGACTACTAGAACAATGAGTACCACAGGCTTTGAATATCTTTACCACAAAATAACTGCCATGATTATGCTTCGAAAACATTGTGATTGTTAATTGCAAAGCAGTGTGTGAGGGGATTCAATGAGAGTTCCCTTGAATACTTAAATCTATTAAAATGACTGCTCAAAGGGAAATGTATGGATCCAGCAGAGCGTACATACTATTACTATCCTCTGATGAGTATACACACATTCTTGCCTGCATAATATAAAAAGCTATTTCCCTGTCGACAGCATGTGAGTATACTAGTATGGATGTGTTTTTATCTTGCCGTCGGGATGGAGCTGGTGCTCCTCTTGCTGGGTGAAGTATGTGCCGTTCCCTGAGGCCGAGCGGTCCTGAAAGCATATTCTTTCATCCAGGGCCATCCTTCAGGCTTCCAGAAGAGGAAAATCATCTAGTTAATGCCAGGATGAAATCCTTCCGCACATGAAACATGAATTTTCTGAATGTTTGGGGGATGCCTTGCATCCCAGCTGCATCAAAAGACAGAGGAGAAATGCTGCTTCTGAGGGCTGAAAGGAAATTTTGCATGCCTGTAGGGACCACATTACATTATATATATATATATATATATATATATATATATATAAAGAAGACCGGGGCTAGTTGTCACATTTTTACTCCAGTGAGTTTTCCCAGATTATTTATGTATTTATTTATTAATATTTCACACACACACACACACACACACACACACACACACACACACACACACACACACACACACACAAGAAAAAAAAAAGTCAGACCAGTCAGAATCAAGTAGGCTATTGCATAGATGTAATAAGATATAATAAAACATGAAATAAAGCAGCCAATTAAAGACTTTTAAACAAATCGAACAATTAATAAAACCGTACAAAGGCAAAATACCAAACATTTGTAACTTGTGCCACCTTATTCCTGTCCTGACATTTAAAATAAATATCTTTGTCCTAAGAACATAATTCGAACTTTAATTTATATTCTACCTTTATTATACAATATCTGACTGAAAACCTTATATGAGGGCCAAAAATTCCCTTTGTTGTTTTCTTCAGTTACAAGTTGCTTTGGATAAAAGCGTCTGCTAAATAAATAAATGTAGTGTAAATGTAAAATTCATTTAGATGAAAAAGGATTAAAACATCCAGCTCAACTGAAACTGGGTGGGGGGGAATCAATGCAGCCTGTGAAGGTACTCACAAAAAAATGGTGGCCATGGAGAAAAGTATGCTGTCTGACTTTAAAATTATGACTCAAAAACCATGCTGAAGACATAACATGATCTTTCCAGTGTCATGTTATCTAAAGAAAATAGTGCCAGGTGAGTTAATGCCTCAATTTGCCTCATTTGATAGAGGTCAAACCCCTAAATAACAAAAAAGAGCTAAATGGCTCTCGTGGCCCGATTTCGGTTAAATTAGATGTGAAAAACTGACACCGAGCGAAAAACTATATCTTAAGGAATATCAAGCTAACAGGAGATTGCTCTCTAAGCTTAATTTGGAGAGGCCATGGCTGCTATTAGCAGGCAGCTGTGCGGCAGGCCGGGTAGAACATCTCATTACGCGAACACGAATCTTCCACTGCTGAAGAGAGCAACCTTTCCACTCGTTCCACTCCCACATAGTCATGGAGAGGCCCCGAAGGCCACATTCAAAGCCATCGCATTAGATCACTCGCAGGCATAGCACATCAGATTGATAGCACAGAGGCTTGATGTGCTTCAAGTGGCTGCCCATTGGACAGTAAGCCAATTGCATTTACGGTGAGGCAATCGGCCAAAGCGGCCCTCAGCGGAGAAGCGATGCAGAAGCTCTTGCAGTTCAACTGTAGAGACAAGGGGATCAAGCCGGCAATCTTTGTACTTTCCAAGGGGCCTCTGAATATTTGCATTTGTGCACAACAGAAAATACACAGTGATTATCTTCTTCCAGAAACAATCAGGGACAAATATGGTCTGATGACAAGCATCGAAATGGTCTGATGAGCGCTTATCAGGAGACAGACCGTTTGAAATGGACCGCTGGCTAATTGCCATTGTTCTGGAACAGAGCTTTGATCATTGGGCTAAATTGTGGCGACCTCAAGGAAGATTTATTCTGTCAGTATCGCCAAGGCCTTGATTGTTTCTTTTCTCCCAAGTTCTTTTCTTTCTAATAAATTGATTGCAAAACCACAGCATCAAGGATTATGATTGCAGCCTCCTTTCACAATAACTTATGATTAAAACCAGTATGAATTTTAATAATGAGACAAGTCTGTTGGGTGTCGTACCTGTGGGTATACAGAGCACACAGTAGACACCTGCATATTTAGTATCAAAGAAAAGAACCTTCTAATTATACAGATCTTCATTAACACAGAAATCTTGGTACAACCAATCATACCTGAACAACATCCTCCTGAGGTTACAGTAGAAGTTTCAAGACTCTGTAAAAATAAAAAAGGATTTAGAGGACAACAACAAAAAAACAAAAACACCTTTTTAAGACACTCTTAAAAATAAAGGTTCCTACCCTAGTAAAAAGTAATATTTTAAAATATATTGATTTAATTCTAAGTATAGTTCAAATCTATTAACCTATTTACTGACATATCGCTCAACACTTACTCATAAAATAAAAAAAATAAAAAAACTTTAATTGGAGTACTACTTGTGCACAATGCACATTTCTTAATATTAAGCCTAAATGTGTTTTAATGACACAATTGATGAGGATTGTATGACCTTTAAATAATATCAGTCTTTAAATGCAAGATATTTCAAGTGTACCGGAAGTATACTTGCAATAGTTCTACATTAGCAAAATCAAATATACTTCAGTATATCTTTATTTGGAATTCAGCTCTACTTCTGCGCAATTAAAGTGCAAAGATTAGTTGTTTCAATTTAGCAGACTTTTAAGTAAACCGGTTTAGTATATCAAAAGTACAATTGCAGGGTATTTAAGTACATAAATATGTAAATGTATTTGTAGTATACTTGGCATGAAACAAATGTGTTTCAAATACTTTTTAGTATATTTATTTTTCACTAGGGTAGAGTGACGTTTTGCAGAGATTTGGTTCCCCAAATAATCTTTCAGTGAACAGTTCCTAACAGAACCATTATTTTCTTACTGAGAAGAATATGTAATTAATTAGAAGAACTTTTGTCCACTGTAAAGAAGCTTGTGCAGTGGAAAGGTTCTAGGAATGTTAATGGTTCTTCATGGAACCACAGATGCCAATGAAGAATCTTTATTGTTTTAAAGTGTAGAGAAATCAACATTAATATGGCATAATGTGAATTCTGAAGGGGGAAAAAAATGTTACAACCCACCCCATGTACTTTGACAGCAACATTTAGGGATAAGCTGTAGATTTCAAAACAACTTTAATTTGCAGCAGATAAATGTGGAAAATGTATATCAAAGTTAAAGATTAATAGTGCAAACAACAGTGGATTACAAAGTAAAATATGTGACAGCCATCCCCATTCTCTCCTAATAGGGTTTTACCAGTGGGATTAGGAAACATGAGGAGGAAAAACCCTACAAGGGCATTAATCAGTTTGAAAATTTATTTTCATATAAAAAGACACTCTATGAAAACAGTAGAGGACTACTTTGTACAATCTTATGTATAAAAAACCTAAATGGTGCAAGGAGGATTCTCTGTGATAGCCATCTTCTTTAGCCAGTGGGATTGTGTGTGCTGGCAGGGGGAGGATCCAAAAGTTTCAAACAGGTCAAGCCATGAAGAATCAGGAAATCCAAGCAAACATCTTCAATCTTCAATACATCCACACTCAGCTGATCATCCTCCTCACAATGCACATATTCAAAATACATATCTCATAAATTGTATGTGACTGTAAGGCCATTCTCAAGATTTTTTTTTTTTCCTTTTTTAAAGAGCAATACATAAATCTGTTCAAAACATAGTTAGTTTAGTGGGATTCTGGAGTGTAATTCTCCAGCTTCAATAAGTAGGACTCTGTAAACATCTATGAAAAACCCAACACTCATATACAGATACGGAAATAGAGTGGAACGACAAAATGTTGAAACAGTCGATGGCTGCATCAGACAAAAGAGCAACAAAAACAAAACAGGCACTGTAAATAAAGCAGGGTTTGCGTACAGCTGCGTGGTTGCGAACTCTATAACTAAAATAGTCAAATCACCTGTGTGATTTATCATACTGATCTTTCAAGTCAAGGTTACAGTTCCCTCACTTCCTTTCACCAAATCTTTTATCTAAAGTCCAAACATTCCAAATTTTAAAATTCGTATTATAAACATTTAGTTCCGGTCCTCAAATTTGACTGGCCTGTGTTCCAAGAGTGCTATACAGTACAGCTGGCTTTGTACTGTTCCAGTTTTTGTATCCTGGCCTTCTTTAGGAATTAATTTCATTAGTGGAAAAAAAAAAAAGGTAAAATTTTGTCAGAAAGAAAACTTCTTGTTTACTGAACTGTTAAAAGCAATATCACAAACACACTACAGTACTGAATATCAGTCGAACAGCACTCTTGATTATGCAATATTGCCTTTCCCAAATACGAGAGTAATATTCAGTCTTTCTTGACTGCGGATGAGAAGGGAGACGAAAAACTAGTTTTAATTGCTATGGTGGTTTGGAGATATATTTCATGGGGACGAGGCAGCACCTGTTCCCCATTAGAGCAGATTACTTGCAAAGGTTGAAATGGCATGCTCTAGTCTTGCCATCTGTGCCTATATGATATGCTGACTTCAGGGATCTTTTTGAGGAGATTAAATTTGTGCCAAGTAAGAAAATGTCAGGACAAATCGTTATTCCCCCCAAGATAATTACCACACCTCTCTCTTCCTCGTTCGCCCTCTCGGTCTCGCTTTCCAAGTCTCCATGTGGAGTTACATCAGCCAACACAACTAATGAACGGGTTATAAAGAGAAGCGGGTTAGCAAAGATGACCTCTGCAGTCTGCTTAGCATTAAGCCAACTGTCAAACTCCACAGTCGAAGTGCAGAAATAAATCCAAATCAATTCAGGATGACTGGTTGAGTCACTGGTTTTCAAATGAAAACATCACAAAGAACTACTTTTTGCAAGAGCAGACATGTAGCACAATATTAAGATGGAGAGCAAATGTGGAAACTTAGCAGCACCTTTGTGTTGGTTCAAAATGGAAACGTTCTCAGCTGGAAGTGTGTCTCTTACTGGATAAGCCCATTCTGGAACACCAAAGCTTCTTATGACTGGAATGTGGATTCTTTTGCTTGTTTTGTGTAAGATGGAACAAAGATGCTTCCCTGGTGTGAACGAATGCAAATTTGACAATAAATCGCACATACTGTATAGCACAATTATTTCTGTCAAGCATTTTGAAAAACTTAAAACACAATCACACAGCGGTATGACCTACTTTCGCCCATAAAATGATACCTGAAGTTTAGGTATATAAAAAAAAACATTTAGAAAATAAAATAAAAAGATGGACAAGCATTCTAAATAAAATAATATAAAAAGCATGTAAGTACAGTACACCTGATGCAGAGGAAAAAAAAGCAGAGGATGGCACATATTAATGAATACTTTCAAAACTTCCCCTCCCTCTTCCCCGAAAAACAAAGCAAGAAAAAGGGAAACTGAACTTGAATCATCCAAGGAATGAGAAGACAGAAAGGAGGAAAAAAACCCTAAGGGGTTATTAAACTGTGTGCGAATCATCAGTATTGATTTTTTGTTGTTGTTCCTCTATAAAAAGAAGGGTGCAGAAATATTATTTTTTAAATTCCCAAATCATCAAACAGGAGAAAGACATTTCAGAAACAGTTTGTTAAATGTTTTTTTTTTTTTACCATACTCTCCAGGCCCCACTCTTTCATTTAATGTCTCTCTGTGAAAATATAGAATAGAGCACTCTTCATCTCTGGTCTGTCCTCACACCTGTAAACAAGTACAGAATCCTTTAGAACACGTCTTGCTGAAGATCACCGACAGCGTGAGTGCGTAAGAGGGTTTAGTTGTCTCTCAGTTTGTTGTAGGTGTGTGTTCTCTTCACACTTCAGTCTGGAAGTCTCCTTCGGATGTGTCAGGTGTGTTGGCGGAGCATGTGTCCCAGAGTTTGCTGCGTAACTCCAGTCTGTCCTTATGTTCGCTGGAGCCACATGTCTGCTCAGGGGTCATGGTCTTAAAGCTGTCCCAGGATCGCTGGTCATCTGTGGTGGACTTGTCCTGAATATGCACATACACAGACGAAAATTCTAATTAAAATTAAAACCAGAGCATAAACGCTGATTACCTCCTTTAACCTCAACCATTCTCTGACAAAAAAGTGTCCCTGCTGAAACACCAGGTTAGGCTGGTTTTAGGTAGTCATCCAGCCTGGCCATAGCAGGCTGGTTTTAGAGGCGTTTGACCACTATTTTAGCTGGTCAGGCTGGTCTTAGCTGGAACAACCAGCTAAAACCAGCTTGGCCAGGCTGGGAGCCAGCTAAAGCCAGCTACTTCCAGCTTAAACCAGCCAACCAGCTTAGGATAGTAAGCCTAATTTCAAAAACTTTATTCCCAGGACCCAAATATGTACAGTTATCATCTGATAAAACATTTTTTTATGTATTTATTTTTATTACAGTGGTGGTGGTTAACCATAAGTTATATAGACTACTGTTCAAAATATATTTTTATTTTATTAATATTAAGTATTTAATATAAACCAATACTTATATTCAGCAAGGATGCATTAGATTAATTAACAGTTACAGTAAAGACTTATAATGCTATAGATTTTTTCTATTTCAAATAAATGCTGTTCCTTTGAACTTTCTATTTATTAAAGAATCCTTAAAAAATAAATAATTAAATTAAGCAGCTCAACTGTTTTCAACATTGGTTGAATATTACAATAAATATTACAAATATAAAACATGAACAAAAAAAAAAACGATATAATAATAAATATACTATATACACTTATTCACACTACATACACATTTGGGGTTAGCCACCACTACTATAACAAAAACAATACATTTATTTTAATTTTACAGTGCTATAACAATATCACTCTTATCTACAGTATTCTGGCAGAAACCATCACTACCATGGTCATTTTTAAACATGCAAAGAGCATCATAAGACTGAAAAACAACATTTTATCTCATCTGGAACGTGACTAATGAAAATGTGCTCAGGCATTTGTAATTCGCATTTAATGTGCCTGAATGCACGTTTCAACAGCAGCATAAAGACTAAATGGCCTTATAGTCTTGCTACATTACGACTTGTCTATACAACATATGGAGCAACCCACTCGTCGGCATTAGTGGTGGTCTGTGCTGCGTTTTATGCCCGGCTATTCCAGGTGTTCATTACTTCAGATGGCCAGAACACATACACTCTCCATCCCATTGAGGCTAATGGTGTATCCTACAGCTATACGGCCTCTTAATGGTAGGTAAATTGCATTATACAGTAGGGGCAGATTAATCTAATCACAGAGAGGCTGGGGCAATATGAGGTTGGGATTGTAGGAATATAAAAAAATTGAGAGCCATACCGCTCGAAGGGGATCTGTTGAGACCTCACAAATTTATCTTGCATTTCCCCTCCTCTCAAATCTATTCCCAGCTTCCCCAAAAATGAGATGTATGAACCTGCATATTTTGAAACGTTTGAGGCGATCAATTACAGGATTGCTGTCGGCTCCCCCTCAGCTCAAACGCCTGCTGATTGCATGTGTGACGGATTGGGGAGTTTGGGGAAACCCCATGTAAATGACTCGTCTGAGGTATGACTGAGAATAAGTTTCTCTGCCTTCCTCTTGTTCGTGAGTGTTTGTAAAGGGGGAGGCTTAAACTAAAGTTGTGTGGGTGGGTTTGCTGGTTACCATGGAAATGGAAAAATTAACACAGACACAAACACACATATACACACTAAACTCACACATGCACATTACGACAATATTTCGAGTAGAGAGCAAACTGGACATCTTTTCTTTTGGCTCTCATTCACAACCTAAATAAATAAATAAATCTGAGTTTGTAGGCTCATGTAAGCAAGTTTCCGTCCACAAGGGGGCGATAGCAGCCTGATTATAATTCACCCAATGTAACAGGCTGACAGTTGGCAAAATGGATACAAAAAGCATAATCTGGCAGCCAATTTGCATGCTAAACGCTGAAGAAGGAACATTTTGTCGAGCAGAAGTGTTGTTAATGCCGAAGAGGGGCCCAACTTTATTCCTAAGAGAATGCTAACGCGATTGTGCTGCTCTTGCGTATTTCCTTTCCCCTCCATCTCTCTTCCTCCCGATCGCTTCGCTCCCAACAACCCTCCTTCACTTCCTCTAGCTTTCTCCATCTCTCCTTGTCAGGCCTTTTCTACTTACACTCGAAGAATTCTTTTCACCTCCGGCAGACGAAATGCTCCATCGCTTTTCCCTCTGTTGCAATAAAAATGAGGATGGGAGGAAAGAAAAATAAAGGAAGAGAGACACAGAGAGAGAGAGATAGAGAGAGAGAGAGAGAGACAGGCAGAGCGAGAGAGTGAAAGAGAGAAAAGGAGGGGGATCACAGTCACTGAACATGTCTGGGGGGAAGCGATGCTTGTTTGAATTTTTGTTACCTTGATGGAGGAGTCTATGGATTCAATTTTGGAGGCAAGTGCACTCCCTTCCTCCATATTTATTTTGCACAAAGACAGACAGAGACAACTTAAACGGCTACAGCACTATGCTCAAGAGAGGCGACTGCTAACTTCAGCATATATGAACCACATCGAGCATGTCTGTATTGAAACACTGCAGTAGAGGAAGAGGAAACTTAGCACTGCATGCTAAAGAGAAGGCAATTCTGTGATGATTTGGAGGAAAGATGGACATGGAGACATAAACTCTGTATTAAAACCTGCTGCCTACCATCTAAGGCAGCATGCTAACTGAAACAGAACCTTATGAGTGATCTTTGAACTGCTGTATACAGTATAACTCTGCGGTGACTTAGCATGTTGCTAAAATAGCTAATCTGAAATAGACTGAACATTTCAGTGTCAAATTAAGTATATTTATAATTTTCTTTTTCTTTTGACTCCATCCGCGATTTTGGATACATTTTTCTTTAGCATTTTAACGGTGCTAAGCTAACACCACAATAAAATTGTTTATATTGAATTTATACTGTATTTTTCTTGACTCCATTATTTTGGATACATTTTGGTATTTTAACATGTTGCTAAGCTAACAATTGAATATAATAGCTAATTTGAAGATTCAACTATTTTTGGTCAATGCCTTTCAGTACTGAAAATATTTATAAAATAAACTAATAAACTAATTATTTTGGATACAATTTAGCATTTTAACATGTTGCTGTGCTAACAACACATTATAATATTAT